AATGTAAATAAATAAATTGATACAGTTAATATTTTACGTAATTTATCTAAGTGAATCAATTAAGAGAATTACTAATATATGTAATTTATTTAAATTAATTAGTTTATGTTGTTGATAATTAAGTGTGCTAATGTAAAAGAGGTGACATCGTCAGTATTGTGATACAACTACAGCTAGTCAGACGCTCGTGAGAATTAGCATCTGTACCGTGTTAAAAAGAGTTTGATAATGACGGACGGTAGCACTAAATAGCTTTAAATCAATATTCCAATGGCTATTGAACATAATTGATCGTAAGTGTATACTGATAATCAAATTAAGTACTGAAGAGTTATTGCTACTGTTAATACTTAACTTAAACAGATTGTAATCGCCTTACTCAATTTTCTTGGCATTTTCCATAAACAGCAAAGGTTTTCAACATTAATCACGTTGTTAATATCAAGATTGTGCAGCTTTATGTGGAAAAGATTAATTCTCAAAAATGCACTTCATATTGAAGAGAAAGTCGTCTGCTACGTATCACATTCCCAAGGGTCTTATCTATTCTAATACAACTACAGAGCAATAAAACATAAAAGTAAAAGATACTGCATTCGGTTGTTAGTGTAGAATTCAGTATTCAACGTTTTCCAAAGATTTGCAGGACTAGGTTTCTTAGATGTACAATACAGCCTGCATGCTAGTTCTGGCGACGGTTCTAATAATACATGTATCTCTCATAGCACATTTTCCCGATTGTTTCCTAGGATAGTAAACATAAATGTTTTATCGAACAAGTCAATATCCCATAAGTGGGGATTGTGGGATACGACAATTGTGTCCAAACATTTAGAGGAGCGCCTATAACGTTGGTGTCAGAGAGATACTCTGAGCGCCATGACGATCAAATGGCTTTTTTTAAAGGTGCTTCTGTTGCAATGCAGCATTGAAGACACAAGGGCAGGTAAGTGTTATTATTAAATGTTTCAAATGTTCAAAACTGATACACGAACACTATTGATTACTGAAATTACTGAAATAAATGTACTTTGAACTTAGTGATTGTTTTTTATGTGATTCAAACTTTTTTTGGATGTGAAAATTAGAACTTAAGATTACAATATACTTGGGGCGTTTCCAATAGAACCCTCTTATCCATATCACCAATATAGACTTCTATATGTGTTATTTAAGTTGTTTTCGTGCGAATCCTTGTCTTTTTGCTGCATATAGATATTAAGGTCGGCTGGATATGTGACCCTTCCGATATAAGAATGATTGGAAGGGAAATTGGATAGCTATTTCATAAAAAATGAAAAAGTGGCCATTAACTTACTCAAGACAAACAAGGCAAACTGCGACGGCGATGAAATAACAGAGAAAAGTCAATAACATTCAACAATTACTCTCTGTTAAGCAAATTTAGCGTTTAAATGTCTAAATTGGACCCTGTTATCCTTTGTAAAGAAAAATATTTAAAACACTTATGCAAATGAAAGACGCAAAATATTACATGAGACAAATTTTGATCGTGCCCTCGCTTTCCTTCCAAACTCAACTTTTTCACAACTTATGTTTTTTCTTGGGCAGCATATTAGAGTTATATTATCATTACTGTGAATGATATACATGTACTGTTACACTACCAGTTCTTTATTCAAATTCCTGCTGTTAGGTTGAATTTTTACAATTGATTACAATACACATAAAGTTCATAATACATTGTTTATTAAATTAACAAAATACTAGACGTAAAAACAAAATAAATGATATTTCAAAGTCTATGGAGTAGGATTAAATATGTTTTAAAACGTTTGTTTCTGTAAAACGTTTTCTTTTTAATTCCTGCTACCTCTTCATAACTTTAGTAATAGGAGGTTAGGTCTATTTTTTCAAGAATTGTTGATAAAAGCATGAGACTTTCTACGATGAATGACCATTGGGTGTTTTTCAGTTTTATTTCATGATTACATTTTATTCACCATTGTTTATCGGCGGTTTCTCCCTTTTTACAGACACAAAACTGTGTTACTTTAATTAGTCCGAGAACCAAATATGGCCGACCCACCTGAATACTCCCCCACGGGATACATGTATCTATTCAGTGTCTATTAGCGGTTTAGACGGCAAGCTTTGAATTTGACCCTCGGACTAGTTAGTCCCCTATTCTGAATGGGGCTAATGACATCGAAGATTATAGCCTGAGAGAAAAATTATTAGGCCGTGTATGAAAGATCACACAAATTAAAAATTCATGAACTTAAACGTGCTAGATACAGTCACATCACTTAACAAGTCGTTTCACAAAAATCGCATCTCATTGTTTTGATTAACCAGTACTTGTTTAGACCCCAACGCCTTGTTTGAGTTATCAGTTTCAAGTATCTCGATTTTCACTTGCACTGAGACGGATGCAACATTTTGTAACTTAATTACCGGAAGAAAATCAGAGGTAGACCGGGTGGTTTTGTTGCGTTCATTAAGCAACCGAGTGAAATATGTTAATGTCGGTAGGCGAGACAGACACTTAAGCCGGTTAGTTGAAAGCAATCTAGTGGGACTCCCCAGGGAGTCTCGATCCAGATGGATTGATCTAGGCATGGGAACCCAGCCTTAGCCCGCAATTGAAATTTATTTTATATTATTTCTATTTATACCCCTTTAATAAATTATCTATTTATTTATATTTTATTTCTTTTATTTTTGAATGTCAAAAAAAGGTGATAATGATAGTTAAGGATAATGGCCGACGAAAACCAATATCACCCAGTGACGTGACCCGAGGGCGGATCCAAAGATATTTTCTGACAGTCTTCCAAATCATCTTTGTTGATCCATCCTCTATTTTTGACCGTCTTCCGACAGAAAATTAGCTAACTGTTAATGTAAACTTGAAAATCTGACCGTCTTCCAGAAGACCCAGAAGACGGCCTCAATCCGCCCCCGGGTCGTCATCTTTGCCCTCATACATGTGCTGCACATGACAGTACATGTATTTATTTTATCCATTACATTGTAATTTACGTCGGCAGTGCTTGTTTCGGAGAAATCTGAATGTTCATAAAAACGCTGAGTCAACTTATCTTAACAAAACGGCTCACCCGTATACTTCTAAATTTCGGAGATGCCTCCCTATCCAGAATTAACGAACACACTATATATTGTCTTTCACCATGTGGAAAGATTCATGCTTTTATCAACTTTGGCACAATTGTTAGACTCTACCGCCTGAATATAAGTGCCATTGGATTTCCCTTGCAGTAAATACCACTCTGGTTCTTAGAAAAAAGTTCCAAGCCCACACTTCTGTAGAGAACCATCATAACACAATAAAAAGGAAAGTTGACCTTTTGGACAGGTGAACTGCACCATCTCTCGCCCAGATCTCCATACTGTACATGCAAATATATTCTAAAGCTCAGCTTGTTTCATAAAAAGTCCAAAACTTTGAAATTTAGCTTAGACTGCTAGCCCTGCCCATTTTGTTCAGTCTCGTACCCATTTAAAAGTTCAGACGACTTTGTTTTGTTGGCCTTGTGCGTTTTTCAAGCGCCCACAATGAATGTAGTTGAGATACCTAATAACGCCATTGTTGTTAAACCAAATCCTATGCGCTATGAGTTTTAGTTTGTTTTTTTTTTTATAACGAGATAAGATGTTTTTAATATTCTTTTTGAAAGACAACTTAGACTGCTAAGATTCTTAGAATCTTGTGCTAAAGCAGATATTTCTACTCAAGTCGTGTTATAAAGTATTTTCAATATCTTAACACTTATTAATACTCTCGGTCTCGATGGGAGACAATTTAGCTCTGGACCTTTTTTAGGAGTCTGAGATGAAATAAGATTTTTGCATAGATGGATCTAATTTCGATTATAAATCTTTTGTCAATTACAAAACTAGCTTTATTTAAAAATAATTGCAAAAATAATTTCTTAATCATATTAGGATGAGTGTTTTTTCTAATTATAAAATGAACTTCATTCCAGGCAACACCACCAACGATGAGTATTGGATAGAACAGCGCCTGTTTAACAATCTGCTGCAGCAATACAATAAGTGGGTTCGGCCCGTGAAAAACTATTCACGCGCATTGGAAGTACGCCTGTCCCTGACATTATACCAAATACTGGAAGTGGTAAGAGAAGGCGTTTCTCTCTCTTTCTCCCTCTCTCTCGTTTGTATGTTTTCATTACAACTATCCTCTATATTATGGCGACTTTCAATATACGGGATTCCGTTTCTATGAGGTCTACTTCCAGTTAGTTTTCCTTTGCAAACAGTTTACATACAACACACAGAGAAAGCAAAGAAAGTACACTAATATTAAATGCAATTCAAAATCGTAAGAATGCCTTTACCATCCCGTTTGTATTACTATCGATATTCTGAAGTCATTGTCACAAAACGACCACTTATTTGGTTGAAGAACAAAGCGACGAAATATTTGATTTTAAGGAGCAAACGATAAGAGTTTTAATAATTAATTACCACGTTGATATTTCTCAGGGAAAATATAATTGTATGAATGCTGAAATCGAATGCGAGTGGAGTTCAAGGATAATTAATGTAACAATGTCGATAATTGATTGAATTCTAGTGTCCGTAGGATGCCATCATTTGTATGATGTACAACTTGATCTTAATGTTTTGTGACAAAGAATCTGGTACATGCGTACCCAACATCCTTCTCTTCTATCCAAAATGCCAACTATTTTTTTCTGTTTAAAATTAAAAATCGGTTGAATACAGAATGGTAATAATGAGAGAATTACACATGTAGGTAAATAAAGGCCCGTTAAATGTCCGACATTTCAGCTGTCCCCTTAAACGACCAAACAAAACGTACCCTGCTCTTTTGAATTTTAGAAACCAAGCATTGAATATGTGTCTTTGATTTTTTTTTGTTTGTTTGTTTTACATATGTGAGATATATCCATGATATACATTAATTTATTTTGCTGTTTTACACCCGAATAAAATATTATTTAATATATAAATTTCTAAGGACGAAAAGAACGAGGCGCTGTTGCTGAACACATGGGTCGATATGGTAAGCTAATACTTTAGAAATTGTTGTATTACGTTGTTGTTGTTTGTACCTGGCAATAAATGTACAGTATATTCATGTCCAATTCGATTCAAAACACATTTCAAAGTACCCATGTCTCAACCCTCTGTTATAGTCTCAACACTGGTATTTGAAAATGGGTAAATGTTGATTTTCACGTTATTTGACACAAAATGTCTGCACAGAAAGGGATTCATAGTTGGCCTTATTCGTGTCGCCAGTCGACTGAACGACATAGTGTTCACTGTCACTTATCAAAGAGGATGTCCTGTACCAATATATGGATTGATATTGCTCTTGTTTCAGCTTGACTAAATGATTCTGATTAGGACATTCGGCTCCCTCTACCCACCTGCTTCGAAAAACATTGGGACTGAGATATGCAAAACGAGCACCCGAAATGGAAATGAATAGTTTTATTTCTGACTTGCCAAATAATATTTTGATAAATTGTGGTTGTTGTGTCAATATGATTTTTTTATATATCGTAGCTGCTGTTCCCGTTGTGCTTATTTTCATGTATACTTATCTTTAAATTGTGTTAGTGGTGGTTTGATGAGCAGTTACAGTGGGATCCCACACAGTATGGAAACATTACCACTACACGCATCCCAAGGAATCTTCTCTGGTCGCCAGATATTATCCTATACAACAGGTAAGCTAGTTATTTCACGTTATAGATAACATAAAACATACGGGCTAAAATAGAGACAGCTGTTTCACTGGCGTGAAAATTTTCATAATCAGGCCTTCAAGTCAATCCATAAATGAAAAATTTTGATAGCATTTGTAGATATCAATCTTCTTGGCAACCACACTTCTTTTCATTGTGTGGCTTTATTTGCAAAACAAAATATAGACATTCATATGTATAAAATAATTGAACTTTTCTTCATTACAATTAAAGATTTTACGCAAATGCGTGTTGATCTCAGTTTTCATAAAGCACAAGTAGAGAAAATGGTCTAAAAGATATAAGCCATTCAAAGGATCTTTAGACTCTTTATAACAAAAATAGTGGGCAAAAACTAACGGATTGTTGAATATCCCTTCTGCCTCAATTATCGGAGAGTACCATGAACTGCAGCGACTCTGTATATTTCAGTGTTTCTGGGTACAACCTGACGACCCTCTACAATGGTCTTAGCTGGGTAACTTATACCGGGGAGGTGTTCGCACCTGTCCCTACCATCACCAAGAGTTCCTGCAAGATGGACCTTTCATATTTTCCCTTTGATGATCAAATCTGCCATTTAAAATTCGGCTCATGGGCACAGGACATGTACCTAATGGACATTCTTAACATAACCACCGAGGTTTTGCTTGGGAGCGGGTACGTGGAAAACGGCGAATGGGACATCGTGGACACCGTAGCCCGGCGAAACGTTATCTACTACGATTGCTGTCCGGAGCCGTGGCCTGATGTTACTTTTTACCTGCAGTTACGCAGAGGGTCTCTCTACTATGGGTTCCATGTTGTCAGCCCATGCTTGCTGCTGTCGTTTCTGAGTCTGGTGATATTTATTCTGCCAGTTCAGAGCGGAGAGAAAATGACCTTGGGCATGTCTGTTCTTGTGGCATTTGCGGTCTTTGTTCTCCTGATTGCTGACCATATACCAGCGACTTCAGAGTTCCCTCCTTTGATAAGTGAGTGCAAAAAGATTTAGTGTTTATTTGGTCATTTTATCTTTTTTATGAATGACACGACTTATCTCAATTACAATAGCAGTGATAAGGTTTGAAATACAGTCAGCTAACTACGTTATCAGGGAGTAGGACTGTGAACGTTTGTCCCTCCCCCTACACACAGTAACCCTTTTCAAAAGAAAAGTGGTTGGTTTCCAAAGGCTATGGGTGGGAGCGGGAGGTTGTACTGTACTGCCCAACAAACATTCATTCCACCCTACTCCCTTAGCTATATTCACGACCACTAGCTATTATCGATATCCACACATTGCAAGGACCTGTTATAACTAAACTGAAGATGCAGTTCAAGACCCCGCACATGTACTTATAACAGACTCAGTAATAATGGTGAACGCTTAATAATTGGGTTGCCAGACATGTTAAAACTGCAACCTTAGCCTGTGTTTGAAGTCATGATATCCGTTGTTGTTTTCCAGGTATCTACCTGACGATCATTATGGTGATGTGCTCATTTTCCATAGTTATGTCAGCGTTTGTGTTAAAACTGCACCATGACCATGCAGACAACGGTGTCCCACCTGCATGGATAGCGAAAATATTTCAAAGAAGAAGTAAAAGATGGTGTCTCGGAAGTGGAGACAAATCGCCAATGAAGATAGCCCCGTTGACACAACATGGCCATGAATTGGGAGAGAGCGAACAGACAAAACTGCCCTTTCGTATCAGTGACACTGAAGAGATCGACTTGGGTCAGGACGTGAAGACCATACAATCAAAACCAAAAGGTCGAAAAATCGCTTTTACTGATCAGGGCGAGCGTTCTTACAACAATGCTGAAACAAAAAACACTCACGAAAACAACCCTGCTGTACACTGGCAAGATGTTGCCTCCGGCTTGGACAGGTTTTTTACTTTACTAATGGCTATAATAACAATAATTTGCGCCTTTGGGATTCTGGTTTTTCTGCCCTTATTTAAAAGCACTAATCTCCAAGATTTTTTAAACGGAGCTACAACAGGCACGTAGTGCAGCAAAAAAGTGTTGTTATAGGACCAGTTTGATTTTTAAAGTGTGTTATAGCCTTGTTAGTGGACTTGGAAAATATTGATAAGTTTATTTGAATCTTATTTGCCTCGTAAATGATAAAACAAGGACCGTTTTTTGTGATATGAAACTCATAAAGAAAAACCAGTATTTTTATTCCCCATTTGGCAAGATATGCACGTTAAGATAAGTAGCCTAGATTTTAGATTAGGAGAAAGCATTTTGTCCTAAAATTTTGCAGGTCAAATGGTTAAGACATAATGACATAAGTGTTGTAAATCAAATTACTTACACTTTCACTAATTACAGAAAACAATTAAAGCGGAATCAAATGAGTAAAAGGGACAAAGAGTTATTGAGTGTAAGTTAAGTTTCTCCAAGAGTCAACAAGCGTAGAACATGTTTTTAGTGTCAGAAAAAGATGGAAAAGGTCAAAGTCAGAAACAGTTAATGTGATTGGTTAATTTCATAACATATTTTAATTTTGATCATCTATTTACCACATGATAACTGAGTTTTGGATAAGGTCCTAGCATGAGTAATCCAAATTATTTTAGATATCTTTAATTGAAAACAAGTCTCTTAGGGATTACCTAATAAGGAAATGTTACATGGTGACTTGCAACATTCGAATGGAAAATATTTTGTAATCACGCAAAGACAATGGAAAAGAAAACAAGTAAATGCGTGATCAGAACGGAGAAATTGAGTATAAATATTTGTGAAGTTGTATGAAGAGAGAGTCGGTGAATAAACGTTCGAAAGCTCCAAACTGCTGTCGTCATTCCTCACTATAACATAAGCATTATCCGCCTTGAGTAAATCGTCAGTGTTTCTAAATGTGGGAAAATAGTTCCGATCATCAATGAGAAATGTAAATGTACAGGTATAAACAAAACGTTATATTCCAGTCTTCTTTCTTGATATCATTTAGTTACCTTTATGTAGGCCTACACACGTCAGAAGTGGGAATTCATATATATGAAAGATTCTTTAGAAAGACGTTGTTATTGGGTATCGTAATTGTGTACAGGTGATATAGAATAGTTTTATAACTGCCCATAGGCCCTGTAAAATCATATCTACATAAAGACCATATTACTATCGTGAGCACGCAAACACTTCGCAGTTGGTGAGATGACGTGCACAAATCTTTGACACATAATAGGTGTTAGTAGGCCTGCATACTCTTATCTCTTTGCATTTACTTAAAAGAAGTGCACTAAAAAGGGTTAACGACGAAAATCAATTGTATTCTACATCGACTACATGCTAATGACCCCTTTGTGTTTGAAGGATGAACACAAATTGCCATTGTTTTCAGTTTCATATATTTCATGGTAACTACTCTTAATATATTTACAGTAAAAAGCTTCAATATAATATCACTTTCCCCGTGTTTGCTTATATGTCGCAGGTTTTTATCGACCTGCAGTGTGTCATATCCCATGACATTCAGAATTTTGCTTTATCAAACATTTACAACGTAGAGGGATCTTATTCAAGTGGCTGCCTTGTTTTGACATCCACTCAAAGTAATGCGTTTGGAGCCAATCTGAGACAACGGCCTGCTACTCAGAATTTAACCGTACTTCTTCAGGCGCCACTAGTGTGACACAGATGGATAATTATGGACTCTCCAAATATATAGATAAAATGGAATTTTTTGTGTGTTCTTATCCAATCAAATTACCAGTACAAGGTTTACGTTCATTGATTGAACGATTGAATGATATGCTTTCATTACTTATGTTGTGACGTTCTTATGCGTTTTAAACGAGTGCGTAGTTCATGTATGTAACATTATCGATTATTTGAGGATAGTGTACGGTTAAAATTACCAGTACCAATTTGTTGTGCATGTTTGTTTGTTTGTTTGTTTGTACGTATGCAGGTGTGTGTGTGTGTGTGTGTGTGTGTGTGTGTACATGTGTGCGTGTGTACATGTGTGTGTGCGAAGCGCTCGTTCTCGCTGTAAAGAGTTAGAGCTTGAGGGGAGGGAACAGCTTAAAAATTAGTGTATACGTCGGACAAATATGGGCTCATATTGGTGACTATGGCGTGATAGGGGAGACCGGGGCTAGTTGGACCCCGGGGTAAGTTGCCCCCCCGTCATTTTATGAAAAAGTAACTACGAGGTAAAGAAATTGGCCACATACACTTGTAAAGTGACCGTAGCCTACAATGGTTTTATCTCAGCCAGTTAACTTGGAGTACGGTGTCCCACAAGGGTCTGTGTTAGGTCCGATCCTATTCTCATTATACATGTTACCTGTAGAAGATATCATACTAAAGCATGGTCTGAACACTGTTATTTTTGCAGATGAGACACAAGTATATATTACATGCAAGAGCAGCCAGTCTGCAACAATCACTTCTATGGAGACTTGTCTTGCAGAGATTCGAGAATGGATGAAAGTGAACATGTTGGCTTTAAATGATAGTAAGACTGAGTTGATATGGTTTACATCAAGGTTCAAGGCAAATAGAAAAAATGTAGCAAATGCCAACATTTGCATAGGAGATGTTCTTATAAAACCATCTAGTTCTGTAAAAGATCTGGGAGTTACCCTCGATGAAAATGGCACTATGGGCAAGCGTGTATCTGAAGTGTGTAAATCAGCATCTTATGCACTATGGCGCATTGGAAAAATAAGGAAAGTGTTAGATAACAAAACCACTGAAAAATTAGTACATGCATTTATATCATCAAGATTAGATTACTGCAATA